ACACCCCGGGTGCCCCTCGCTCTGCCCGCTCTGCCCTGTGTTTTTCCCTTGCCCGAATGGCCCCGACTCCCCTCTGTTGCTTGACCTCTTGGGTGGGATCCTCTGCCTGCTCTTAAGGTGGGGAAGGGGGAGAATGAAGGGACAGGGGACCACTCAGTGATGCACTGGGGCTGGAAAAAACAAAAACACAAAAGCTCCCCAGAGAAGTTGCGTAGTGGCCAAAATATACAAACTTGGATTAAAAGGAGGGAGGTTTGGGGTGGGGCAGTTCCTGTTCTGGTTACGGCCAACCTGAGGGGTCCCACCTGCATTCAGGCTCCCTCCCTCCCTCCCCCCCCTCCCCTCCCTCCCTTCCTCCCTTCCCTTTTTGCTCCAGGGACTGAGCCTGGTAGCCGGCAGCTAACCGACGACGGCTATTTCTTTATTTTCACTTTTCACCCCACCTCCATTTTTTTGTAAACAACTTCGAGGCGGCAATCATACCTCCTCCTCCTCCTCCTCCCTCCTCCTGTGTTCCCCTCAACAACAACAACCCTGTGAGGTGGGCTTGGCCGAGAGACCATGACTGGCCCAAAGTCACCGGGCCGAGCATCCCCGCGGTTTCTCCCCCTGCCCCGCCAGGCTGAATTCCAGCCCCTCCTCATCCTCGCGGCCTTCCTCCAAATTGGCACCGCTTTCCTAGGCTGGTAGAAGATTGGGCGCCTCCCCTGGGGCATCAAAGCCGGCACACGAAGCCAAACGATGCCGTCCTGTAGAAACTGGGCTTGTCATGCGTGATGCAGTTACTTGACGGTCGCATTAGCTGTTTCCGCCGCTGTGCCACGTTGCTGGCTCTCGCTCACCTATTCCAGGTCCTTTTCGCACCTCCTCTTCTCCCCCCCCCCCCCCGGTCTATACCTGTGGGTTTATTTGAGGCCCGGAGTGGAACAGGCCCCCTTGGACTTCCCAGTTCACCCCATTTACGTAGCTTATCAAGGACTTTCCTACCAGAAGCGTTTGCCCCTTATGGAAGAGAGCGGCTCGGAGGCCGAAAGCAGGCATAGAGGGGAGGGGGCACAATTGGAAGCCCGCCGTGCGAGAGGCTTCCGGGGCGAAAGCAAATCAAAGCCAAGTTAGGATAGGAAGAGGATATATTTTTCAGTGGGCCGCTGACTTGTTCAGGGCTGCGAAATGCAGGGCATCCTGGCTGGGGAATTCTGGGAGTTGAAGTCTACAAAGCTGCCAAGTTTGGAGACTCCCTGCAAGTTGAACAGAAAAAGAACAGAATCAAAGAGTTGGAAAGGACCTCAGAGGCCATCTAGTCCAGCCCCCTGCCCGAACAGAAGGTTATATACTACCAGCGTCCCAACTTTTAAGTAATTATGGCGGAGGTGGGGGAAGGCCAGCATACCTGGAAACAGGACCCTCCCCAGCAGTGCAGTGGGCCAGACGTGTGGGGGGAGGAAATTCCCCCAATCTATACAAATTAATTAATTATATATATATGCATATATAGTAGACAGTCCTCGATTTATTGAGCCCCCAACCCTTCTGCTGCTAAGCGAGACAGTGGTGAAGTGAAGTGAGTTTGGCCCGCATTTTATGACCTTTCTTGCCAGGGTGGTTAGCCAAATCGCTGCTCTTGTCAAGTTAGCCACACGGTCATTAAGTGAACCGGGCTTGTCAGAAGGGCACCCAAGGGGATCACGTGAGGCCCCCCCCGCCGCCGCCCTCGGGGACACAGCATCCGTCGTAAATATGAGTCCATCCCAATGTGGATCCCGTGACAGTGGGGATGCTGCAACAGTCATAAGTGTGAACAACGGTCATACATAAAAGTCTCTTTTTTCAGGGCCGTTGCGACGTTGGTCGCTAAGCGGACTCTTAAGCTGAGGGCACTCGGCACACGTCTGCAAAGGTGCTCGGCCTGCCCTGCCTCTGGTGCGTTGCCCAAGGGGGATGGGGGGGCAGCTGGGCCCCAGGCGAAGAACCGGCTGTGGTGGGCAAGAGAGGCCCCTTTCTGAGGCTGGCACAGAGGAGGAGGAGGAGGAGGAGGAGGGCATGGTGGGCACTATGAGGGGTGCCAGGGAGAGATTCTGCCTTGAGCATTGGCGAGGTCCCTCAAGTTGGAAGGAATTTTGGAGGTGGTCTAGTCCAGGGGTCTCCAACCTTGGCCGCTTGAAGACTTGTGGACTTCTACTCCCAGAATTCCTCAGCCAGCAAAGCAGAAGTCCAGAAGTCTTCAAGCGGCCAAGGTTGGCTGAGGAATTCTGGGAGTTGAAGTCCAGAAGTCTTCAAGCGGCCAAGGTTGGCTGAGGAATTCTGGGAGTTGAAGTCCAGAAGTCTTCAAGCGGCCAAGGTTGGCTGAGGAATTCTGGGAGTTGAACTCCAGAAGTCTTCATGTGGCCAAGGTTGGAGACCCCCTGTTGTAGTCCCACCCCCTGCTGGACCAGGAGACCTAACCCAGGGGTGTCTATGGAGATTCTTTGCCATCCGGGTGACGGTGGTCCCAAGAGGCCACTGGACTTCCTGCCTTTTCTTGGAAGGCATTTCGCTTCTCATCCCAGAAGCTTCTTCGGCTCTGCAAGGAGTCTAAATCCTTCCCTTCCCCACCCTCCTCCACACAGAGCCGAAGAAGCTTCTGGGAAGAGAAGCAAAACATCTTCCAAAAAAAGCCAGGAAATCCGGGGGGCCTCTGGGGGGGGGGGGGGGGAAAGCACCTTTGGGGACTAGAGCAGAGGCCTCCAACCATGGCCACTTGAAGACCTGTGGACTTCAACTCCCAGAATTCCCCAACCCGGCCCACCAGTCTTCAGGCGGCCACGGTTGGAGGCCTCTGCTCTAGTCCAAGGCCACTGGCTGGGGAATTCTGGGAGTTGAAGTCTACACGTCTTCAAGTGGCCAAGTCAGGACACACGCACACACACACACCCCACGCCGGCCCTCTCCCCATTTCAGACAGGTGGCTGTCCAATCCCTTCTTGGAAATTTCTGGAGGCAAACCAGAATCGTTCTCACTGTCAGTGGCAGCCGTGGCCCCTTCGACGCACTGCTCCGAGGTTACAAACGCCCACCCACCCTCTTTGTCCGGGGGGGGGGGCGCGTGGGAAAAGGGGTGTCCCATAAACAGGGGGGGGAATGAGGTGGGCTCGTCCATGGCCCTGCACCACTTCCTGGCTCTCCTCAGCCACTTTCTGAGTTCTGGTTCAGCCTCGGGAAGCCGATCTGGTGGAATTCAAGTCCTTTATCCCAACTTCCCATCAAGTTTCCTCTGCCGGGGGCTGAAAATTCTGCTTGGAAGGAAGACTGGGGAGGGAGGAGATTTTGAAAAAATGGGGGGGGCAGCTTCCCCCATGGTGGGGGCTTTCATCCCGCTCTCCCCCAGCCCACGATGAGCTCCCCCACCCAAGAGATCAACGTGCAAGAGAAGGGAAGCGATGCATTTCAGGCGGAAACACAAGCCGAGAGAACGGCCTTTACCTGCCAGGTTCTATCGGGGGGTTACCTTTAGGGTCCTGGACTGGGAAGAGAGGCAACCCGACTTGCCTGCCTGACTGCTGTGGACTTCACACACACACACACACACACACACACACACACACACACACACACACACCGACAAGCCTGTGGGACGTTCGCTTTTCTTGGCTTGGGTGGTGTGAGTGAGCGAGATCTGCAAAATAGGCTGATTCGTGTCCCTTTCTGTGGGCAGGTGTGTGTGGTGAGGCTGGTCGTCTCCTCTGGTGTCACCCTCGGAAGGGAGAGCATTTTTCTTCTCCCTCCCCAGGGTCTAAATTTGGGGGAGCAGCGTAGAGGTTACCCACAGAATAGTTGTAGCTCTGAGTTGAGCTGAGTTTTGCTGCTCTCTGAGCCAAGCGGTTTTCCTGCAGACCTTTCGTGACCCAACTGGGTAACTTCATCAGAGCTGGAAGGGAGGGAGATTTGGGGGAGGAAGAGGAGGAGGACTGTGGGGGTCCTCGGTGCTCTCCGAGGTTGGTCTTGCAGACCTTTCATGACCCAACTAGGTAACATCATCAGTTCTAGACAGGAATAAAGTTTACACAGGAGAGGAAGAGGAGGAGGAGGAAGAGAGCGGGGGGGAGGGGGAGGACTGCAGGGCCCTTGGTGCCCTCTGAACTTGGCTGCTTTCTTGCAGACATCGCATGACCCAACTAGGTAACACTCTCAGTGCTATAGTTATATGTCTGTCCAAGTGATGGAGTACGGTCTCGAGATGGAGCGAGTGGGTTGGATCCAAAGATTGCCTTGGTGCAGGTTTTGGCTCTCCATGTGTGATCCTTGTCCGCTTTTGCTGCCTCAGGGACAATCAAGCTAAGAGGACTGGGAGTAAGAACATAGAACCCTGGGATTGGAAGGGACCTTAGAGGTCTTATAGTCCAACCCCTTGCTCAAGCTTGGCCCCTTTAAGACGTGTGGACTTCAACTCCCAGAATTCTCCAGCACCAGCAGAGCTTACTCTCTTGCAATCCCTTCCTCTGCAATCTCTCCTCTTTGGGGGAGAGGAGAACAAGAAACAGACACGACTGGCTGGCTGGGGAATTCTGGGAGTTGGAGTCCACAAGTCTTAAAGTGGCCAAGTTTGGGGACCCCTGCCCTACACCATCCTGGACAAATGGTCGTCCGATATCTTCTTGACAACCTCCAAAATTTCAAGAGGAAAGCTGGCTGGAGAATTCTGGAAGTCCTCCAGGGTTAAAGTAGCTGAGGTTGGAGACCCCTGCCCCAGCTATTCTCCAGCATGTTCTAGGACCGTCATAAAGAGGGACTTCATTTGCTTTCTCCAGGAGGCAGGCTCTCCTCTCCTCTCCTTGTGTCCCCTCCCACCTTTCCAGCTCTGGGCAAAAAGCCCCTAACGGGTTGGTGGTCTCCTCGTTGCCTGCAGGACCTGGAGAACGACTACAAGTGCACCTGCCCGCAAGGCTTCTACAGCAAGAACTGTGAAATCAGCGCCATGACTTGTGCTGATGGGCCGTGCTTCAACGGTGGCACCTGCATGGAGAAACACTCGGGGGGCTACACATGTCGCTGCCCCCTGAACTACCACGGCTCCAACTGTGAGAAGAAGATAGACCGGTGTAGCAACAACCCCTGTTTGAATGGTAAGTGTGAAGGAGAAGGTGAAGGAGAAGGTCCTAGGTTGGTCTTCTGTGAAGGAGAAGGACCTAGGTTGGTCTTCTGTGAAGAAGAAGGTCCTAGGTGGTCTTCTGTGAAGGA